GCTCTTAGGACCATAATGTTTTGACTGTTTGTTTGTTTGTTTGTTTTTGTCCTGATTTAGTCTAAATGGGGATGTGGACAGGTGGCATTCAGAGTAGGAACTATTTGTTCTATAAATCTCAGTGTATCCTGTCTCTGACATCCCTGAGAAAAGAGATGGCAATTCCTAGTGCTTGTTTCTTGCTACCATTTCATCTCCTCTTCTGCTCCAAAGCCAAGTCCATCAAGTCTAACCATCCCCTTCCCAATCAAGAAAGAAAGGAGTTAATGGAATTAGTCAGAAGACTAAAGTTTCAATAATGGGAAGGGGGAAAAAAGCAGTGTGGCTTCTGAACCAAGAAGGCAGCCACCTTTACTATATCTGGGTTGTGATACCTGGAGTCACATGAGAAAGAAGGAACCTGGGTACTCTAACTCATTTTTGTAAAATGTGACTTTAGAGAACAAACACCCCAGAGGGGTGTTTGTGTGTGTGTGTGTGTGTGCTTAACAGATGAGAAATTTTGCCCCAAAGGGGAAGAGTGACTTACCTAGCTAATTTGTTTCAAACTGAGACTAGAGTTCAGGTCTGCCAACCTCTAGGTTTTTTCCTGTAACTTTTGGTGTTTAGACATTTTGTTTTGAGGATATGTAGGAATCCCCCTTTAGATGAACTTGTATGTGGAAGTCCAAAATAAGTGAAGTAGATAAAAGCAGAGGTGCTCTTGATACAGTGGGGTTCAGGGACCCATAGTATATTCACGCATCTCTGTTGCCTCTTGCACGACTGCCGTGCATCATGCCATCTTAGTCATCCAGCAGTAGCCTTTTGTTGGGGGTTTCCTGTGTGTCAGTACAATTTAGAAAAGCCACATAATTTTACTCTATACGTATATATTGTTTGATGCTTTTACAACCAGAATTTATTTATATAATTAAAAAAGAAGGAAAATGTGCAGATAAGCAAAAAGAAGCAAGTAAAAGTCATCTATAATACCATCACCCAGATACGAAACAGTTTCTGCCTTCAGGAGCTCCCAGTGGAATGAGTGAGACAGACAAGTCAACAGGCAAAACTTGTGCTACGCAGAGATAAATGGGGCCACAAAGAAAGGCACCTGACTAGTGGTCGGAGGGAGAGGAGGCAGTCAGAGAAGGCGG